TTTTTTTTCTCGCAAAAAACTGTTTCTGGAGTCGAAATATCTGTACCAGTTAAAATATCTGTACATATTTCTGACACCCTGTAGAGATATTATTTTATTTTCATAGTAGAAGCTCGGCTATTTTGAACTTATTTAAAAAACGTGTTTCAAAATATAATTCTATCGAGATCTACTAGCCCTAAAAATGCGCTAACACTGCATGTTACCTTCTGATCCAGATGTATACCCAGGAACTTACTGCTGTGGCCATTCCCAAGAGACTGATTTTCGGCCTTCACCAATAAACTATAATCAAGGGAACTATTATCTGTAGCAAACTCTACTATATTAGAGATATTCAGTTTAAGTCCATTATGACATCAGCTCAGCATTTGCTAGACTTTCTAATTATATCTGTCAGTAAGCCCCTCATGGTTATCTGCCTGTATTATAACGTTACACTCGTCCGCGTATAATAATGGTGTACCAGACGTAGATTTTGTTTTGTGATCAATCATTAATCAATATACTAAATAACTTTGGCGATAGACGAGAGCCTTGAGGTGTTCCGAGGCTAATTTCTTCTATCTACTAACTACAATATATCTCTACTAACTAAGTTCTGCTAGACAGATACAATTTTAGCCTGTTCAGAGGAGGTTCCGAATACCTACATATGCAGTTTGTTTTATGAATTAGAAGTTCATGATTCACGCAGTCAAATGCACGGCTCATATCGAAAAACAAACGACAAATCAATTTTCGTTCTTGTATACCTTTTGTAATATTATTCTTAATATTTATTAATTAATTGTTAAGTGTCGTTTCTGACCAAACCAAACCAAACCAAAAATTATAAAGCCTTTGATTAAAACAATATTCAAAAATATTATTGTCTGATGAATGCATATATTTGTTTAATACATTGTTATTCCATTTCTCAAATTTAGTTTTTATATAAATTCGATTAGTTGCATAAATCAATCTTTGGTAATTCAACACAACTCTAAACAACTCCACTCAACTCCAAATTTACATTTTAATCCCAAAAGTAACCTCCTATTTCTGTCTGACAAAATAGGTGAAAACCGGGCAAAACTGTCCCTTTGAAAACGATAATACCGGGACATCGGTGCATTCTATCAAACCATCAAAATCCTCTCGCTGCACATTTCCACAAACGAATTACGGCAGCAGCGTTTCGGTTTTGCAGCGGCTCTGTTGTCTCTTTCCGCGCCGCAGGCACGACACGTACCGCAGAAATGATCAAAGTTGGGATGTGCATTATTTTCTTCTCGCTATTGCAACTCACCGATTCGGTATCGACAGAGGCGGAGCGAGCGCTCTCGAAAGAGATTACAGAAGATTCCAGAATAAATAATTTATAAAAGTGGTGCAGATTTATTCTGATTTATGGAACAGGGAAAATAAAACGTTTTGTAGATTGCTGACATGGTTTTACAAATGTTGCTATTATTTTCTAACTGTGACTTTTACCCATTCAATTGCAATCTGGGAATAGATTATACTGTACGGAACCAGAAAATTGAAGACTAAGACCTTAAGTGCCCGTTCTTTGCCGCATTTCAACGTCTACACTCGCGCCAATTTTCAAGAGCCAATTTACGAGTCTCTGTAGATTGTAGCGTGTGTAGTTTATTAGTCCAATTTTTGAAATGACGTAGATAGAAATTAAATTATATCACTTATATTTTGACACGGGTTATGTTTTAATTTTCAATTCCACAAGTCATGTGCTGTTATAGCATTTTTGAAGTGAAACTTCTTTACGCGCGATGGGAGTAAAAATTTAAGACTGTGACACACGAGACGCGAGAGGAAAAGCGGTACGATCTTGGAGCGTCATACTCGTGCTCTATGTGAGCTGCTCTATGGTGGAATCTATCTGAAACTCGGAATGTAGATGGGTCTCAAAGATTTCATATTTTCATGATATTTTGACGACGTTTCGTGCGCTACAAAACCGATGAGTCAAATGAAACAAATCAATATACCAATGAATCAAATAAAAAAAAAAGAAATTTGGTATGTCGATAGATTTCACCAAGGCCAACTTGACCGTGTACGACACGTGTCACTGTGACTGTTAGTTTTGACGTTTTGACTATTAGTAAGAAACGTTAACAAGTTGACAAGTGCGCACGGTCCCACCCTGCAAAGTTGGATATACGTTTCGTTTACATCTTTCTCAGGGTGAGACTAGCGATTTGAAGAAAAAAGTGGATCGATTTCGGTATAATTGGGGACAAGCTACAGGATGACGCCTCGACGTTTCGAACCGATACCTCTAAATAGACAATATCGTCAGGATTTTTCTTAATTAGGGGTCGATGGGAACCAAACTCGGAACGTGAATAGTGGTACCCGAATTGAGTCCTCAGACGGATAGACGGGCAGACAGATGGAAGTAAGAAGAAGTTTCACTTCAAATATGCGCACGTAGTGCACACACAATTTTTTTGTCTTACTTTGATAAAAAGAGAGTCACAACTCCCAAGCGAAAAAAAAAATAAAAATAACAATAATGTAAAGGCTACTCCTAGGCTTCACCTTTACAAAAAAAGCGGAATTGATAAGGTTAAAGGATAAAATTACAGACTTATTAATCTACTTAGTCAACTTGCAAAAGTTTTTGAAACCATAGTCCATGAGAATTTTGAAATTTAAACAATAAACTAATTTAAGTTTTTTTACAAATTCAGCGTTCCTTGCGATTGATAATAAGCAGTAATTAGATGTCATCTATACTGATGCTGAAAAAGTATTCGTCAAAGTGAGCCACAAACTACTTCTTAACAAAACTTATCAATTTTGGTCTTTACAAAAAAAAAACTTTCAAGTTTCTAACCAAATCAAAAGCGAGCTCAAAAGCTATCTGATAGATCGAATTTTTAGTGTTAGAATATGCAACAAAACATCTGAGGCATTGACTGTCACTTCAGGAGTCCCATAAGGAAGTAAAATTTCGCCATTGCTTTTTATTTTATATATGAATTATCTTCCGGACTGCATCAAGCACTTCGAGTGCGTTTTTTTTTCGCTGCTTCGAGTCCGCTTTCGTTTGCGGACGATTTTAAGCGAGGGGTGTCTCACTATTGGAATTACATGTACATTTTCTTGGCAGTCGCTGGCAGTCGCTGGCAGTCATTGGCAGTCTTACGGCAGTCACCTATATAATTACATGGCAGTCATAGGCAGTCTTCTTCGCAACCATTGGCAGTCGCTTGCCAGTAACATGATATTTTGGCAGTACATGTACATTTTTCGCCCAAGTGAGACACCCCTCGTTTTTAAGTGTCGCCTTCGAGATCTGACAAATGTTACGACTTTTTGTTTACAAATAATAATATGTTTCTTAATATCGAAAAATGTTCATTTCTGAGTTTTACACTTATATCAACCAGGATAAATTGCGAATATCATATAGATAGTGTAACACTGACTGAGAGCAGTGCTATCAATGATCTGGGTATAAGGTTCGAGTATAATTGAAGGTTTAATCTACACTATCGAAACATAGTCAATAAAGCATATAAAATGCTTGGTTTTTTTATCCGAAAGTTCTAAGCACTTTAAACAAATTAGTACGTTGTCCAAACTGTACAATTGCTTAGTTAGGCCTCTCTTAGAGTATGCATAAATCCTATGGACTCCTACAGCAAAATGTAATCGTGATCTGATTGAGAAAGTCCAAAAAAAATTCTAAGATATCTATTTTTTAAACAAATGGTATTTATCCAGTTTTCCCTTTGCTGATATTTTATAAAAAAATGCTAGGCTCATTCAATGTCCAGGACCTACACGCTCGAAGAATAATCACGGCACGAAATACCGGCACGAAAAACGAGCACTTTAAAATTTTGACGTATTTTAAGCCTTATTTTTTTATGACTTTTTCCGTCTTTCAATTATATGGAAAACAAGATGTCGAAATTTCGGTGGAATATGTTAATAAAGCAAGGTAATAACTGTGGAATACATAATACATAACCCTGTGGAATATGTTAATAAAGCAAGGTAATTAAAAATAATTCTATCATTAATTACATCTTTTCTTGATAGTCAGTTTTTTAGTTCATCTCAATAGCTTTATTTTTGTTGGAGATATTCGCTTTGGAAGAAGACACTAACATTTTTTCGTTATTTTACATTAAAACCATGCATTCGCCTTTGGTCCCAGTCAACAGACCTATGAAATAGTGTTTTTATGTAATGTCGCTGTTATTGAAAAATCGTATTATTATTGTTTATTGGCTGTTGGGTAGTTACTCTAGCAGAGATGGTTTTAAGGCCAGAAGTTGTATCCGCTATAGCAGCTTTAGTTGAAGATGACAGAGATCAAAATTATGTCGCTAACAGATTTCGGTGTGCACGAAGTACAGTGCAGTCGCTTTCTCGAGACAATTTCATATGCTAGACATCCAGGAAGCTTCGTATGAGAAGATTCGAGACGATCGATTTATTGTTAGTTTTGCTAAGAAACATCCGTTTGCCAGCTTTTCAAATTTATAATGAATTGCACCTAGGGAACATACATGTAAGTGAACGGACTGTAAAAAGAAAAATAAACGTACTAAATCTTATGTCAAGAATGCCTGCTTCGGTAACAAAACTTACTACGTCTGTTACGGGCGAGAATTAAGGGGCTCAGTTCATTAGGGTGAGTTAATGTATCAGGACTGTGGGTACTCACCTTTATTCCCGTTCTTGACTCGTACTTGTTGATTTTTTGCTTATAAAACACTTGAGGATAGAGCGCGCTTGGAGGTGTACACTGTGTACTCGGCCGATCTTGTCACGCTGCGTATTCGACTACGGCTACGTACCCACTCAGGTTTTTCGGGTAAAGGATGGGAGGAAGGGATAGAATCCAACATACCGCCCACCAAAATGAAATATTTTCCATTTTTGTTTGAGAATAGTAAAGTAAAATAAAAAAAAAGTGAAAAAATGCGTTACGTTTAAAAGAAAGTAAGAGTGAAATTTATGGGGTTAAATTTAGAGGAAATTTAGAAAAATGCATTATTGGGGTTAATGCATGAGTGTAATTTAATTAAATATTAAGAGAGTTTACATTTGTTATAGAGTAGAGAAAAGTAATTAAATAAGAGATGTGAATTATGTTTATAATGAGATTATGTTTTTTTTGCGATTATGTTTTTTTGCGATTATGTTTTTTTTGCGATTATGTTTTTTTTAGAGAGTAAATTTTACTTTTGAGATTTGCAGTAAGGCAGTGGGCATATCTTTGTCACTGGTCTTTTAAGAATGCCTTTTGCTGTTTTTAAAGTAACCACGCGTGTAACACGATCATGGCCCGGGTGAATCTCTAAGACTCTTCCAATGCTCCATTTGAGCGGAATTAGATTATCATCCTTTATTAAAACAACCGAGTTTATTTCTATTGGAATAGTAGAGTCATTCCATTTAGCTCTTTGTAAAAGTGTTTGAAGGTATTCTTTAGACCATCGGCTCCAAAAGCTTTGGTGCAACCGTGATATCCACTGCCAGCGAGAGAGATGATTTAATTTTATCCCGGAAAGATCATCTTCCGGAGGGGCGTTTAACGGCTCTAGGGTTAAAAAATGTCCTGGAGTAAGAACTGACAAGTCATTAGGATCAGAGCTTTGTGGACACAATGAACGAGAATTAAGCACTGCTTCTATTTGAACCAGTAGCGTATAAAATTCCTCATACGTGAGCAATTGATCACCAATAACCCTTTTAATGTGAGTTTTTACAGACTTTATTCCTGCTTCCCACAGGCCACCAAAATGAGGCGCGCTTGGAGGATTGAAGCGCCAGGAAATTTGTTCTTGCTCAGCGGCGGATTTTAGCATATTAATCAGTTCTCTAGAAGCTCCAACAAAGTTCGTTCCACAATCGGAATAAATATGATTGCAGCGACCTCTACGAGAAATGAATCGACGCAGTGCACCCAGAAAAGTCTCGGAGGAAAGGTCGGAAACCAGTTCTAAGTGCAAAGCTTTCGTGGCCATGCACACAAATAAGCAAATATAGGCTTTACAGGACTTAGCACCTCGTGCACGATATCTTAATAAAGAGAATGGACCACCATAGTCGCATCCAACTTCAGAGAAAGGTTTTACTTGAGAAAGTCTTACAGCAGGAATATCTCCCATAATAGGAGGCTGAGGCATTACTGGATTAGCGCGAAAGCATTGAGGACATTTAAAGAGAACACTACGAATTGTTTTTCTAGCAGAAACAATCCAGTATTGTTGAGCGAGAATATAGTGAAGAGTTTGGGGACCGGGATGCAAATAGAGTTTATGAGTATATTCTATGAGTAGAGTAGTAAATTTATGATTATTGGGTAAGAGTGCGGGATGTTTTTGAGAGAAATTTAGAGAAGCATTGCGCAAGCGACCACCAACTCTAAGAATTCCATTGGTGTCGATAAAGGGGGTCAATTTTCTTAAGTATTTAGGTAGAGATTTGCAATTATTTATTAAGAGAATTTCCCTAGCATAATATTGTGATTGAACACATTTAATAATACATTCTAGAGTTTCATTTATTTCAAATTTCGAGAGAGGAGAGGTTTTACGAGATTTAGAATGTCGAGTATTATAGAGAAAGCGTCTGCAAAACGTGACAATATTTATAATTTTAGAGAAAGAAGAGAACTTTTCAAAGAGAGTATCAAACAATGAGGGCTGTGAAGTACATGTCAATATAACTTTTCGTTGTTCTTCTTCAGTTTCAGGGAAAGTAAAAATTGATTGCGGCCAATAAGATTCCGGTTGGCTTAGCCATGGAGGTCCCGCCCACCATAAGGCATTTTCGAGTAACTCGCTAGGTTGAAGACCACGAGAACCTGGATCAGCGGGGTTGTCTTTGGAGACTACATGACTATTGGGAGCAGGATCATCCCAATTTATACCTAACTTCCACAAATCTTGTATAATCAGTTTTAAGTGAAGAGTGAGAGGAACTAACATGCCACAGGGATCAAATATGCTTGCGAGTTGTGAAAGAATATTGCGTTTGTTACAGATTTTATTTGTCAAGGACAACGCTGGTGAATCAAAGAAAAATTCATCTGTAGAGGGATTCCAGTTTAGTCCTAGAACTTTAGAGGAAGAAAGAGAATTTATATTTAAAGAGAGAGAAGAATCAATTTTGCATTCATTTGGAGATAACTGAGAAAGAAAATTTGAGCTATTCGAAGTCCATTTTCTAAGTTCAAAACCACTGTGTTTGAGTATAGAAATGAGATCGCGTTGAATTTTTATAGCAAGAGAAAGATAATCGCAACCAGATATAATATCATCGACATACGTATCCATATCTAAAATCTTTGATGCTTCGGGATATTTTACTAAATTTTATAACTCGAATGGCTAAAAATGGGCTACAGCTTAAACCAAAAGTAACACGAGTAAGTTTGTATTCTTGAATGGGCTCATTAGCGTTAAATCGCCATAAAATTTTGTAGGTATTCAGTATGATTTTTATTAACAAGAATTTGACTAAACATTTGTTTAATATCGCTAGCAAATACAATCAAATGCGATCTAAATCGAAGCAAAATAGATAAAATATCTGACTGTAATTTTGGCCTAGTTAAGAGAGTGTTATTCAAAGATTTATTTGTGTAATCTCGAGCGGAAGCATCAAAGAAAACTCTAAGTTTGGTCGTGAGACTATCTGGTCGGATTACGCAATGATGAGGCAGATAATAAGAATAAGCGTTGGGAGAAGGATTTTGCACGGCAATCATATATTGAGAATCTAAATATTCACGCATGTAATTAGAATATTGAGAATAAAGTTTGTGGTTTCGAAGCAATCGTTTTTCGAGCGAGAAAAATCTACGAAGGGCGACATCTCCAGAACCTTCAAAGATCGCTTCCAAAGTTTTAAATGGTAAAGATACTTTATAACGTCCAGAAAGAGTGCGTGAAAATGTTTTACAAAAGTGTTCTTCGGCAAGCTTTTCATCTGAAGAAAGCGTCGAGGATTGTGGAACGTCCTCTAACTCCCAGAATCTTTGAAGTGATTGATCCAAGGAAGCATAAGACGTAAGAAAGTATGAGTTTACAGAGAGCGAAACACTAGATGTTTTAACTCTTCCTGTAATTATCCATCCAAATATAGTTTCTAAAGCGACGGGTTGATCTGGATCTGAGAGGAGTTTGTTTCCTGTTATCAAGAAACCATAAATATCTGCACCCAAATGTATATCTACGGGTTTAGAGAGGTGAAAGTTGGGATCAGCTAAGGGCAATTGAGAAAACTTTGAGAACTGTTCAACGGGAAGAGAATTAATCGGTAAATTATCACTAATTTCGTTTAATATAATAAACTCCAAGGAGTAGATCGGATCAGACTTTCCAATAGGTTTAATGTTGCATCTAACACCGTGAGAACCTTTGGAAATATTTTTCCCGATGCCACACAATTGGATGGGGAGGAAAAATTTAGATAAACCTAATTTATTAAAACAAGATTTTGAAATAAAGTGACTTTCACTTCCACTGTCAATTACAGCGCGTATTACATGAAAATTACCCCACGCATCTTGAACATTGATTAATGCTGTAGAAAGAAGAGCTTTATTCTTATGTTTTGCAAATAAATTTGTAGATACAACTTCTGAGATAGAGCTGCTTGCTTGCAGAACTGGAAGAGTTTGCGATGAAGTGGATGGAGGAACGTTTACAGGAGTTGTTATTTGACCTTCGAAATGTAAAAGCGAATGATGTTTTTTGCCACAAGTTCGGCATGAGGAACGAGAATTACAACTCTTAGAAGAATGTCTAGTGCCGAGACAGTTTGAGCACCAACTTCGGGATTTAATTAAATCATATCTCTGTTTTGGAGTAAAAGCAATAAAATCTGGACAGTTATAAATAAAATGATCCTTGTTACAAACTTGACAAGTTAAATTTTGTTTCAACTGAGTGTTGACAACAAAGGAAGAGGTAGGTTTATTTTTATAACTTTTTTGTGAATACTTCGTTTTAGTTTTGTCATAATTACTATTTTTATTAAAATGAGAAAACGATTTAGTTAGAGAGATTGTATCTTTAGCTGAACATTGTTTTTCTAAAAATTCAATGAGTGTATCGTATGATTTGAGGTATAGCATATCTTGTGATAAAACAGAGCCACATTCCAGTTCAAAATTAGTTTGCAAAATTTCTGGAAGTCTATCATAAATCATATTAAATAGCACAAAACTCCAGCTCTCTGTGGGAAAACCCAAGTTATTTAAAATTGTAATATTACGAGTATAAATATCAATCATATTTCTTAGAGCTTCATGATTATTTTCGTTAGAGATGGGCTTAATATTTTCTAGAGCCTGCCAGTGAGCTTTTGCAATCAAACGTTTCTTATCGTACTTATTTTTTAAGGCTTGATATGCTATATTATAATTTTGATTGGCAAGTGGAGTACTAGATACCAAAGCTAAAGGAGGACCTCGTAAGAAACTCACTAGATAGTTGTATTTCGATATATCACTAAGAGACGAGTTACAGTGTATAAGAGAATCAAACATATCGATAAATGTTTGCCAATGTTTAAATTCACCATCAAAATGGGTACCTCAATTTTAGGAAGTTTTACCGAACATTGAGCAGTAGTGTTTTGTAATTGTGTAGTATCCAGCTCCGATTTCGTTTGCGGAAATAAATTTGTGAATAATGCTTCAATGTGAAAATAATAATCATTAAATTCAGTTTGAATTTTGACATGAGGATCAATATCGCCATTATCCTGTGCGGAGACTAATAAAATTATATTATTATGAATCTTATTAAAAGTTTTATAAATATCTTCTAAGTGTTTTGCTCTACATCTAAAGTTAGGGTGAAAATTTGGATCTTCAAGAGCTTGATCAGCGGATTTTTTAAGTTCTTTAATTTTAGTAAGTTCTACAGAGCGTTGAGCTATAAGAGTTTTTAATTTGCGAGCGTCTGCAGACATAGCGAAAATGAGTATAATAATTAATTAGAGCGTAAGAGAGAAATGGAATGCTATAAAGTGAGAAAATAAAATATTATAGAATATAATAATTAACTGAGAGAGAGAGAGAGAATGATATATTCTACAATAGAATATTATATGAGAAAATAATTATTATATTTTCACCTTATAAGGTGAGAAAATAAACTATTATAGAATATAATAATTAACTGAGAGAGAGAGAGAGAGAGAGAGAGAGAGAGAAAGAGAATGATATATTCTACAATAGAATATTATATGAGAAAATAATTATTATATTTTTACCTTATAAGGTGAGAAAATAAAATATTATAGAATATAATAATTAACTGAGAGAGAGAGAGAGAGAGTAATTAATTAAGAGAATAAGAGAGAAATAGAATAATTAACTGAGAGAGTGTATGTGCGTGTGTGTGTGTGAGAGAGAGAGAGAGAGTAAGAATGATATATTCTACAATAAAATATGATATGAGAAAATAATTATTATTTTTACTAAGGTATTCGTATTAATTGAGGGTATTTATTAATTAAAAATTAAATTATTAAGAGAGAGAACAGACTAGAGTTGAGACTAAATGCGTATCGATAAATTTGAGCGTAAAAAAGAAATATCCGGACCAGTATCGCGAAACAGCGCTAGATATCGCTTTTAACACCGGTACGGCAATTTAAAAATCGATCGGTCGGTCGCAAATTGCTGGGCAGTGGAACCAGTGACAAAAAATGTACTACCTTTTTTTACTGCGTTAAAGAGAAGATAAATATAGATTTTGTTCGAGAATTTATTTTATTGAATATGTTTAAAATAATATATTACAAAATATTAATGATATTTAGATAATTTTGAGAAATTAATTATGATAATCAATTTAATTGAGTATAAGTAAAATATGCACGTAGTTCAGCAAGGGATCTGCGGCGGAAGGACCAATGTCACGGGCGAGAATTAAGGGGCTCAGTTCATTAGGGTGAGTTAATGTATCAGGACTGTGGGCACTCACCTTTTTTCCCGTTCTTGACTCGTACTTGTTGAGTTTTTGCTTATAAAACACTTGAGGATAGCGCGCGCTTGGAGGTGTACACTGTGTACTCGGCCGATCTTGTCACGCTGCGTATTCGACTACGGCTACGTACCCACTCAGGTTTTTCGGGTAAAGGATGGGAGGAAGGGATAGAATCCAACAACGTCTGTTGACTAGGATAAAAAGCGAAGGACGTTTTAATGTAAATATTACGAAAAATATCGAATCGAATCAAGATTACGCTATGGCATAATACTGTGGGGAACATCCACTAGGATTCGGGAGGTTTTCATTGTTCAAAAAAATGCTTAGGTGTATTGCTCGTGTTTCTCCAAGGCAAACTTGTCGAGATTTATTTAGAGAATATAAGTTACTAACTTTGACGAGTATCTTTATTCAAGAGCTATGTATATTTGTTTATAAACACCAGCATAAATATAAACTAATTTCTGAAGTCCATAATTTCAATACAAGAACTAATCATAAATTTTATGAAATACCATGTCGTACTAATGTAATGTTAAATTCACCGCAGTGTTTAGGATTAAGAATGTTTAATTGCTTACCAACTCAATTTAAATTATGTAAGAATATAAATGTTTTTAGAAATAAGTTGAAAATTTTTTTATTAGAAAAAGTATATTACAACATAAATGAATTTTTTATGGAAAATGTATAATAAATTGTTAAAATCATACGAAGAAAAAAGAAAGATATTGTTTGTATCAGTATTTTTTCGTTTTCGCATAGATGCATAAGTAAAAGGTTTATTATTGTATTTGTTTTGACTATTCTATCACAATTTTATATTGTAATTTAGAAATAAAGTTTATTTTTTTTTATTTTTTTTTTCACTGCTCCGAACAGG